TGCTTGTTCTTGTATTTTTTTAGGTAGCGAGGAGAAACCAGACACTCGGGGTTAATGTCGGTGGTGATTTGTTCCGGGATGAGCTGTGGATCTGGGTTCAAATGCTGCATTTTCAGGAAGGAGAGGATGTTCTGCACTTCCATGCCGTAGGAGCTGTCGGCCATCGTCTTGCCCTTAGAAGCCAGGCGACAAGCGGCCATCCAGCTGGCGTACTGCGTCTCCTGCCCCCAAACAGAGACCCGTGCCCATCAGAGAGGTGGGGGATCACAGAATCATAGACTTGTTTGGGTTGGAAGGTACCTTAAAGCTCATCCAGTTCCAACCCCCCTGCCAGCAGCAGGGACACCTTCCACTAGACCAGGTTGCTCAAAGCCTCATCCAGCCTGGCCTTGAACACTTCCAGGGAGGAGCAGCCACAGCTTCTCTGGGCAACCTGTTCCAGTGTCTCACCACCCTCACAGTGAAGAACTTCTTCCTAATATCTCATCTAAACCTCCCCTCTTTCGGCTTAAACCCATTTCCCCTTGTTTTGTCATTAACTGCCCTTATGAAAAGTCCCTCCCCAGCTTTCTTGTAGCCCCTTCAGGTACTGGAAGGCCGCTATAAGATCACCGCTATCCCTTTCCCCCCCTAAATAAAACCTCAGGGTGTCTTTATTTTCCTTCCAGCCCCAGGAGACTCAAGCACACACAAAGATGGGAAGAAACCCAATCAACGTGTACACTACTCATGGGACAAAGCCAAGGAAGAGCAGGGGCTGATTTTCTCCTCCAAATTCACACACGTGTTCTGACCATCAAAATCAGACACCTGTGACTGCATTTTGTAATTATTATTTTTTTTAATTAACACCAGCTACACAGAACACCCAAGTATAAGCTGATGGTGGGCAAAGGGCAAAGAAACATCTGGTCCAAACAATGAACTTACGTTATCACAGCGAAGCCAGATTTCATTCATTCCCTCCGCCACCGGGATCAGAAGTTTGATGTTAAACTTCTGACCGGAGATGTTCACGTCAGGGGTAACTTCACATCCTGCAATGAAGGAGCAACTGTTTAACAGGGGTGTGAAGAACTGTGCTTTAAAAAAGGGGGAAAAAAATATAAAAAAAGGAAAAGAAAAAGTAAAACACTCCAACTAAAGGATGTGTGTCAACATCTCAGTGCTGCAAAGGTCTTACACTGCATCTCCAGGGGGATGGACACCCGACATTGCAGGATTCATCTCATAGATCCTGAGTGGCCTCATGAATGGACTCAACAGCTGGCAAATGGCCTGTGTCCCTGTCCTGGTTTTTGCCAGGACAGGGTTAATTTTCTCCTTAGCAGCCAGAAAGCGCTGTGTTTTGGTTCCAGTGGGGATTGTTATGAGAACAATGTTGATAACTCCAAGGACACTGAGCTTGGGCAGTTTGCAAGAGCAGAGAACTGTAAGGGGGAGTGGAGAAGGAAAGTGTAGTAGTTGGTAAACCCAGAATTGACAGTGGGATGTGCCCATGAGATATTCCAGATCATATCCCATCATGTTCAGTATATCAGTGAGGGGCTCTTCTTCTCTTGCTCTCTCTGGCTTTCGCTCGGGCTCTGGCTCTCCTGGGATTGCGGTTTCGGTTCGGGATTGTTGCTCCTCTGGGATCGTTATC